AAGCTCAGGGGGCGAGTCTCCGAGATTCGGCCGGTGAGCCCAGCGCGCTCGGCTCCGCGACGCCGACATGCCCGCTTTTGCGCAGGCGCGGGGGCTCCTGCGCAAGCAAACGCGTACGCAAAATCGTGCGCGCGCCGGTTCTCCGCCCGGCGCCTCGGAGCTGCCTCAAGGGTAAAACCTTTGGAGCTGTTACGCGGGCTTTTGTTCTCTGAACTACACCTCCCAGCATGCCCGGCCCCTCATATTGGCAGTAGGTGTGGTTTCCCAAGATAGGGTGAAAGAAACGTGATGATGACGTGCCAACAGGGAAAAACCTGAATACGTTGTTTGAGCACGTCGTTCGCAGAAGCCCCAGTGGCCTAATGGATAAGGCATTGGCCTCCTAAGCCAGGGATTGTGGGTTCGAGTCCCATCTGGGGTGGTTAGTGTTTTTCTGCCTTTAAAATGCCTTTTTCCTTTTCTAAACAATTAGAGCGAAATATGCTAACTTAATTTTACCTTTTAAAAATGGGAAGTGTATGTGGGGTTTTCCTAGGTGTTGGGCTACAGTTTATGAGAATCAACATACTCCATTTCTTTCCTCTGAGCCCTACGTCCCGTAAGATTTCTGGGAAGTTGATACGTTGAATTTTGATATTCCCTCTAGAAATCAAAAGTCGTCTCAGCGTGTTCTATTTCAAATCAATACCCACTCCCGCCAAGCCCTCTTCTTTTCGAGACTCAGCGGTCTGCCAGCTAATGGCTTCTTAAATTACTCAGTAAGGAAGGGACCTCCTTTTTCCTCGCCCGGCCTCTCTCAGGGTTTCTTAAGGATCTGGTTATTCAGTTGCACTCGGCTTTCGTTTGCTTTTCTCTTAACTCCTTGGGGGCGTTGCTCGGCGTTTGATTAATAAGGGCCCGCAGAGCAGGGAGGTGAGACGTTCCTGGGCTCCGCCGTCGATAGGGCGCGCGGAGGTCTTGGTCGGGGTCCCGCCAATGAGCGGCTGGGCTGGCGGGCGCCGTCAGGGCGGTGTGGGCGCCGTCGTCACCGGGTTCGGAGGACGGGAAAATGGCGGCCTTAGGGTCGCCGGCGCGCACTCTGCGAGGCCTGCTACGGGAGTTGCGCTACATGAACGCGGCCACCGGCCGCCCCTATCGCGACACTGCGGCCTATCGGTACCTCGTGAAAGCTTTCCGTGCACATCGGGTACGGAAGCCCGTGTCCGGTTCCAGCGTCCCTTCCCGGGAAGGGAGGGAGAGTCGGGTCTGGGGCGCCTGCATTTCTGAGGCCAGCCCTTCCACCCAGCCCCCGTTCCGGCCAAGCAAACCCAGGCTCTCGGCTCTGGTCTGTGGCCTAAGCCCGGGGCCTGACCAAGGGCCAGCGGGAGAGCACAGCCGCCCTGGCCTGGCGCCGTCCCCGGGGATTTCGTTGGCCGGTCTTTGCATGTGTAGACGGAAAGTCAGAGAAAGGGAAATGGGAGAAAAAAAAAACGGTGCACTTGGTGGCGAGTGTAGGGTCACCAGCCACAGCATCTGTCCAGCGTTCCCCTCCCCCTTCCCCTAGTAGAGCTATCCTGAGAAGCAACTTTTGAGGCAGGAAACTGTAATACGGTGAAGGATATGGGGAGCTTCTTGAAGAGCAGGAACTGTTTTTTACTTATGTTGTATCTCCACCACTTAATAGTGCCTTCTAGAGCGAAGTAGAAACCTATAATGAGGTTGTACTGTCCGTTACCACGTGACTATGCCCAGATGCCTTCTTTCTATCTAGCAGATAAATACGAACATAGGGGAAGCCATCCTTGGGATATCCCGTGTGAAATCCACACTTGATATCCGCCTTCGGCACGAGCGGGTGGAACAGTTTCATTTTTCAAATGGGGCAACTGAGGCTCAGGGACAGTGACCTGTACAAGGACGTGTATAAGAACAACTAGAACCTAGGTAACCTGGTACCCAAAAAGGGGTCTTCCATTTAATTGCTGCCTTTGGAGTTATGGATCGGGCTTGGAGAAAAGTGGCAGCCTATCTCTGAAGTAGGAAATTGAATTGGCCTTTAGGGAAGGAAGCTCACTGTCCTTTGAGCAATGTGGGAAAGGGAGAACCGTCCTCCTAACTCAAATTTCTGAGCCATGGAAGTTGGAATGCAAAATGAAATTCAACTAATTTTTTAAAGGCCACAATGCTAAGGACTTCTAGGAACTTGGCTACAAACGACGAGTAAGATGCACATGGGTCTTGTGTTTTAAGAAGCTTACAGTCCAATTGAGGAGCCATACAAGGAAGCACTTAGAATAAATAAGTGCTGAGGGAGTAAACAGGAGGTCCTAGTATAAAGAAGGGTAGGCTTTCAGGAGGAAATTCATTAAACAGGGATTAGAAGGATAAACTGGAACCAGTAAGCAAATGGGGTTGGGGAAGATGAAGTCCACTTGAAAGAAGCTGCACAACTGGAAGCCCAGAGGTGAGAAGAGCTGCCAGTGGAGAATGGTTCAAGCTTAGGGTGTGGTGGGTGAAGTGGAGCGAGATGTGGTAGGCAGGAACTTAAACTGGACTGTAAATGTAACGGGAGGTCATTCTGATTTTTAAGAAGGTGACATGGTTATAGTCCTATGTTATGTAGGCAACATTATTGCCCTTGAGAGAGGCTTGGTAATGGCTCTGAAATTTCTTGGAAATACTTGTGAAATTCATGCTAAAAATTCCAGAAGCACCACTCTGGAATGCATACGTGGATGTGGGGAATGGTTTTTATTTCCTGCTGGCTCAGAGGTAACTCAGTAACCATCTTTGCCCCTTTTCTCTATCCTTTCCCGAGGTTGAAGGGATTCAATTAAGGAGGAACCTCCTCTTTCTCCTTAGGGAAAATATACTATTTCATTTGATCTCTTTTGGTCTCCTGTGATTTCCTTACTGTGTATTTTGCTGACCCTTCTCTCCTGACTCAGGATGAGCTGAATCAAGATCAATATTCTCCTGTCCTACAGTAATATAGAATTCCTGTTTCAAATCCTGTCAATTTGGGCTTAGGAAATAGAAATGAGTGTTACCCTTTGTTGAGGTGTGACATTGGTGTTCATCTTTAATAAATCTTTTTTTTCTTCTGCTTCTCCCCAAAGTCCCCCAGTACATAGTTGTATATTTTAGTTGTAGGTCCTTCTGGCCCTGCTATTCGGGACACCACTTTAGCATGGCTTGATGAACAGTGCTAGGTCCGCACCCAGGATCCGAACCGGTGAAACCCTAGGCCGCCAAAGCGGAGCGTGTAAACTTAACCACTAGGCCACAGGGCCAGCCCTTCATAAATTTTTTTTTTTTAAAGATTTTATTTTTTCCTTTTTCTCCCCAAAGCCCCCCAGTACATAGTTGTATATTTCTCATTGTGGGTTCTTCTAGTGGTGGTATGTGGGACGCTGCCTCAGCGTGGTTTGATGAGCAGTGCTATGTCCGCGCCCAAACCAAGGAAACACTGGAACGCCTGCAGCGGAGCGCGCGAACTTAACCACTCGGCCATGGGACCAGCCCCCAGCCCTTCATAAATTTTTAATTATAAAAAGTTATATTGACTAAAGCAGATGAATTCTATTTTCAAGCAGTTTATAAGTGCCATTTTCACACAATGTGATCTACAGATCTTAAACCATACATTCTAGTTTTCAGAGTCCTACCTTAAATATTCAACTAAAGAAAGGTGAAAGAAAGGGGATTATGTGGGCAGTGGTGCCCAGAGATTAATCCACGGTTGGAAAGGGCTCCTTAAGTCATTTGAGGCTGTGCCCACATCTCTGTCTCACCTTTCCTGCCATTTTCTCAAAACCTTAGAACACAAAACTAGTCAAGTAAAAGACAGTGTACTAACTTAATCTAGAAATTAATTATGATGAAGAAAAAACAAGGTTTGGAGTCATTAGGGACTTCCAAATGGACATGGAGTTTCCAGCTACTTAAGATCATCAGAATCTGGATTTTTCAGATGGATAAATAAATTGTGAGAGTGAATATAATTAAGTAACATGAATATATGCCTGTTACTTTTATATATAAAACATTTATTTTGTTACTGTTGAGGACAAAGCTATTATTTTCAGACAAAATAAGTTTTTAATTTTCATTGAAATGAAAGGCATGTGCCACATTAACCAAAGTCACAACCATAAGGCAGTCCTTCATTTGTTTGAAGGGGAGCAAGTTCTGTATTATATTCCTTGGGTGACATTAATGATTAGTGACCTGATTATAGTTCCCCATCTCTGCCATTAACCAACCACCAAGACTCTCTGGGCTTTAATTTCCTCTTTTATAAAATGAGGGAATTGAAAAGGGAAGACTTTCCAGTATTAAAATGTGAGGACACTCAATGAAGCTCCTCAGAGAAAGTCCTTGTAAAATTCGTCTTTGATTAATTGGAGGTCAGCTTTCCTAATCATCAATAATTACAGAGTGCCTCCATTTATGTATTAAGTATCACATATACATGTTTGTATTTCCTCTGTGCAACTTACTTTCATTCTAGAGAATGCTTGTGTGTTAAATCTGTCTCTGTGGCCTTGTATCTGTCGCTGGGCTGTTAATTGAGTATCTGACCTTGCTACTTCTCTAGGTTACCAGTGAGAAGTTGTGCAGAGCCCAACATGAGCTTCATTTCCAAGCTGCCACCTATCTCTGCCTCCTACGCAGCATCCGAGAACACGTGGCCCTTCATCAGGAATTTCATGGCAAGGGTGAGCGCTCAGTGGAGGAGTCCGCTGGCTTGGTGGGTCTCAAGTTGCCCCATCAGCCTGGAGGGAAGGGCTGGGAGCCATGAAAACGGAGAGATTCCTTGGATGCTGCCTTCATACAAGAATTTAATCATTTCTGTCATATGTATTTATAATTAAAGTTTTTTTTAAGTTTAGGATTTTTCTCTGTAATTTTGTTGACTGAGTGTTTCTTAGGGAGGTCTCATCCTTACTCGCAGTTAATTTACTGAACTTCCTACACTACACTGATTGATGTTCTTGATCTGCTTTTAAAACTCTTTATGTTTTTAATTTCAAAAGTAATACAAGCCTATTGTTTTAAGGAATTCAAATGGTACAGACATAAAATAAAAGCCGTCTTTTTTCCCCCTTGTCCCGCCCCTCTGCCATCTCCATTACCAGGTGGTAACCGTTACTAACAGTGTGATGTGCATCTTTCCAGATGTTTCCTATGTGTATATAAACATACAATTATACATATATACTTTATTAAAAAATACACAAATATCACGTGTTAAGGTCCTGGCAGGCAACAGATGGCACACTCAAATAGGGTTACTGAGGAGAGTTAATGGAGGGATATATGAAGATGTGGGGCAACATGGTGAAGCTCCTAGAGGAAAGCACAGTGGGGGAGCTATTACCTCCAGAGGCCTGACAGAGTTGACCCTTAGGACAGGAAGATGGCCACCATTCAACTGCAGGCGCCAGGCAGGAAGTCTAGGGAGAGGGAGATGCAATGAGCACACTGACTTCTCTCCTGCCTTCTAATCTCCCTGTCAAATTGCTCTTCCTCTTGAATTCTCTATCAGGGTGAACAGCTCCACCATGCACATGGCTGACCAAGTCAAAAACTTGGGCTTCCTTCTTTATTCCTCTCTCTCTTCCTTCTCCACACCCAGTCAGCCAGCAAGTTCTGCTTCTGCAATGGCTCTAACATCCTTCTCCTCCCCCATCTTCACTGCCTCTGTTCAAGTTCAAGCATTGATCGTCTTTTAGCTGAACTATTAAATGGTCCCCTTGCTTCTAGCGTCATGAATTCCTCAGGTAAAAATTACTCTCTTTCTGTGAACTACCAACAGTAGTGGTATATGTCAGTTTCTTATAGACATGTCCTATACCCTCTTTTTCCCTGCAAGTGCCTTAAGAATAAGGACCGGGCCAGCCCAGTGGCGCAGCGGTTAAGTTCGCACGTTCCGCTTCTCGGCGGCCCAGGGTTCATTGGTTCAGATCCCGGGTGCGGACATGACACCACTTAGCATGCCATGCTGTGGCAGGCGTCCCACATATAAAGTAGAGGAAGATGGGCACGATGTTAGCTCAGGGCCAGGCTTCCTCAGCAAAAAAGAGGACTGCCAGTAGTTAGCTCAGGGCTAATCTTCCTCAGAAAAAAAAAAAAAGAATAAGGACCATGTCTCATTCATCTTTGTAGTTTCCAAAACACCTTCCACAGTCAGTGACTTACATATAGCATTATTCAATCAGTATTTTGAATGCATGGCTCAGTTCTACTCACTAGGGGAGTACAATCTGAACAGAACTATTCATAAAGCATTTTAAAACACCATCTCTTTCTTCTAAGAGATTAACATTAATAGTACTAAGGTCAAACAAGCATTTATTCAATTAAATGGATCAGAAAAAAAGAAATGTTTAACATACTTGTTTCCCCCCCTGCTTTATTTCATGGGCATGGGTATATTAATATTATCTGAAGATGTTTTACTTTGGTAAGATGAAGAAAGCAAAAGGATTAGGACAGGTTGATGTTTTGATTTCCTTTGTTGTTACAATATTGTATCTGCAACAAATAACATTTTGAAAGAAAGAGATTTGAAGCAGAATTGCCTAACAGGGTAAGCATATTGATTATGGGTATGAGTCATATAGACATAGGTTTTAATCCCACCTTTATAATTTACCAGCTGTGTGATCTTGGGCAGGTTAGTTGACCTGAGCTTGTTTCCTCTTCTGTAAAATCAGAATGCCAACAAGGTGGCTGTAATAAATAAGAATAATGTTTACATAAAACACTTGGATAGTACATAATGAGTGCTGGACGAAAAGAAAATCTTACTGTTTTCATCTTTTTACTATACTCTCATTCTTTTATCATGAACCCTTTTCTAAGCCCTATTGTCACCAATCTTCCAAAGTATAGACAAGTTATTTCTTATGGTTTAAAGAACCCACTTAGGCCATTTCTGTCCATATATATTCAAACCTGCAACTCTTATTAATGGTTTTCCCATCAAGAATTAGGTGAACTCAATGTCAGAAATGGAAGGGACTGATTCTGGAACAAAAATGATAAACTTTCTATACTGGGAAGGTCTCAGAACTAGGGAATCCTGAGGTTTGGGCACTGTGTTAACTTACTAGTTAGTGATGTGGTGCATGCTGTATCCCAGTCCTTCATTTGCTTTTTCTTTTACCCTCTCTCCTCTAACTTCACCTGCTTCCTCCCACTGAATTCTGTTAGCATTTAAGTATGCTCAATGCTCTTCCATTTCAAAACAAATACATGGCCTCTAACTCAAATGCCTTTTCAGCTACTGCCTTTTCCTGTTCCTCTTCACAAATTGAATGAATGCATTCAATGAATTGAATGAATTATATTCATTTTCTACATTTTTTAAACATAAAATGAGTTATATTGAGGTCGAATTTACATATAATAACAATACCCACTTTAAGTCTACTGGTCTACGAATAATGCCGAATGCACCTGTGTAGTAACTATCCAAATAAAGCTAGAGAACATTTCCATCTCCCCAGAAAGTTCTCTTGTGCCCATCTGTAGTCAGTTTCCCTTCCCCACATCTGGCAACCACTGACCTGCTTGCTGTCTCTATAGATTAGCTTGGCTTGTTCAAGTATTTCATCCAAATGCGGTCATACAGTATGTACTCTTTTGAGTTGGCTTCTTTTGCTCAGCATACTGATTTTGAGATTAATAATCCAGGGGCTGGCCTGGTAGCGCAGCAGTTAAGTTCACGTACCCTGCTTCGGTGGCCCAGGGTTCAGTTGGTTCAGATCCCGGGCACAGACCTAGTACTGCTTATCAAGCCATGCTATGGCAGGCGTCCCACATATAAAGTAGAGGAAGATGGGCACGGATGTTAGCTCAGGGCCAATAATCCTCAGCAAAAAGAGGAGGATTGGCGGCAGATGTTAGCTCAGGGCTAATCCTCCTCAAAAAAATAAATAAATCCATGTTGCGTGTATACATTTTCTGCATTTTTCACTGCCCATGCAACCTCCATCCACTGCAGTCTAGTTTCTGCCCCTCCACTCTACCAGAACTGCCTTGCAAGGTTACAAATGACCTTCAGGTCACTAAACACAGTGGGTCATTCCTTATCTTGATCTCTAGGGAGCATTTGACACTATTGACGATTGCTTCCTCTTCCCTTGACTTTGATGACACCACATTCTTGTTTTCTCTCACTCTAGCCATTTGTCTTCAGTTTCCTCTTCTGCATATCTCCTATATATTGGTGTTCCTCAGGTTCAGACGTAGCTCCTTACCTCACATTCTACATGTTTTCCCCTGGGTAATCACCTCTACTTCCCAGGCTTCAATTATGATCAACAGGCTAACTCCAGTCCAGGCCCCCCTGCCAAGCTGTAGATGTGTCTGCCTAGCAGACAGCACCACTTAGATGACCCAAATGCATCTCAAATTCAATGCCTTCAAAGTGGAGCCTCATCATCTTCCCCTATAAACCTCCTCTCTGGTATTCCCTATCAGTCTATTGACACTTTCACTCAGTCACTCAAGTCAGAAATCTGAATCATTCTTGACTGCTTCCTCTCTTTCATTGTCAGGTCACTAAATTAATTAGATTCTACCTCCACAGAATCTCTATTGCTACTACCCTAGTACAGACCTCTTATATCTTGCATCTCTTTCCTGAACCACTGCCCTCCCTAATTGGTCTAACTCCAAATTGCTCCTTTCAATCAATCCATTTTCCACTGATCTTGTCACTCTCCAGCTTACAACCCTTCAAAGTACAATGTTAACAGGGGCCTCCAGAATCTGGCCTTGCCAAATCTCTTCAGCTTCATCTCTACTCTCCTTATATTTGACAGTCTAGCCATACCAAAATTCACTTCTAGACGCCATGGTCTGTCTTTCAACATTTTGCTGTTCCTTATGCAAGGAAAGCTCTTTCCCCTAATCGTACCCCTTTCCCTAGCTAATTCCTGTTAATTCTTCAGATCTGAGGTTAAATTTCACTTTCTCTCCTTTCCTCCTTCAACAGGCATTTCTGAATGCCTACTATGTATTGGACAGTGGCTTAGCTATCCTTACCTTTTCATTCTTAGAAAAAGTGAAAGTGTCTTTTTTCAAGCAACATGGTTTATATATGCTTATTGCTTTTAATTCCTCCACCTTTAACAGACCAGTCAACTAGCTCTCACTGTTCAGGTTTGGCTCCAGCTGTTTCTCCTCTCCATAAACTTCAGATGTTTATGCACTTTGACTAGAACTGTTTTTGGCTATAAGGTACTAAGTTATTAGTACTCTGCTTGTCCCTTGTCTGGGTAAGCGTTAGGGATACAAATATGAACATGACGATAGGAAAAAAAGGTTCACATACCAGGATTATGTGAGAGGAAAAGAAATCTGTTTTGTTTTAAACTAAAGGTAAGCTAATCCAAGGCACATTCTGTTTGTAAGGTAAGTTTTTAATGCACTCAACTAAAAGATAAATAATTTACACTGAATTTGAATTTTTAAATCTACATTTAAATTAACAGGAACCATGTCTATAAAATTTGATAGGTGAGTACTGATGCCCCCAGAATAACTACAATATTAAATTTTACTATATAGCCTTTAATTATTTACTATATTTAGTTTATAACTTACATTAAAATGAAGAGTTGTCTGCTTGGATAGCTAGCAAAAAGTATGTTACTTGTACCTATTCCAGTTTTTAATTACCTAGTTTCTAGCATGTATAGATTAACTCTACTCTTATATAAGTTCATATTTCCTTATGAGACCTTGCTCCTGAAGAGGAATGGATATCATTGCTAGAATGTACACATAGACATATTCGCAGAGGTTTTTCTTTTTGTTTTTTTTCAGGTAAGATTAATACATAGCTACTAAAATTTAAAAATTTAAAAAATTTACAAACAGAAGAGAACAAACTTTCAATTCTGTTAATGATAGTCTAGGTAATTTAGATTAACCCTTCCGTTGAACACAACTAAAAAATGTGTATGAAATATTTTTTAAAATTCTCTTTTTTGAGGAAGACTAGCCCTGAGCTAACATCTGCTGCCAATCCTCCTCTTTTTGCTGAGGAAGATTGGCCCTGAGCTAACATCTGTGCCCATCTTCCTCTATTTTATACGTGGGACGCCTGCCACAGCATTGCTTGACAAGTGGTTCATAGGTCCTGGCCTAGGATGAACTGGTGAACCCTGGGCCACCAACGCAGCCTGTACGAACTTACCCACTTGGCCACGGGGGTCACTGAAGAGCTATTAAGCTATTAAGATAGGGAAATACTGGGCCAAATCTTAGAAGACAAGAAGTGAAAGTAAGTGTGGCACACAAAGGCACATTTTTTACTTCAGGGCATTTGCCAGTTTAGTAGCAATAGCTTCTGTATTGAAACTGAGCTGCACCTTTGGCCAGCTTGTAGGGCTGGGGAGGCAAAAGGCAAAGTCCAGGGCCCACCAAGGTAGGCACTCTAATAAACCACACCCACTTTAAACTAGAACCCTGAAGTTTACCCTCAAGGGTGAACTGGAAGTGAAAACGTCCTTGCTAGGCTTTCAGCCCAGATTTGTGTCATTTTGGTGGTGAAGAGAAACAGGTCTTGAACCTGTATGATGGTGGTCCTTGACTCGTACTGTCTTCAGTTATCTATCAGGGAAAAATAAAGATCCTCTCCGGAGGAACATAGCATTACAGTATATTGTATTACTTGTATTACTCCTATACATATTTTTTCAAATACAAGTTCAGCACACAAAGATAACCAGACACACACAAAAACAATACCCAGAAGTGAAAACCAGCAGAAACAATAGACAACAGAAACAGAACCACAAAAAACTTCAGATATTAGAATTAGCAAACTCGAATTACAAAGCAGTTATGTTCACTCGGGTCAAAGAATAACCAAGCTTGGAAATTTCATCAGGGAACCAGAAATTATAAAAAAGATGACACAGTAGACTTGAAAAGAACCTAAAAAAAATTCTCTAGAACTGAAAAAATGAAGAATTCAATTAATGGATTTAATAGCAGACTAGATACAGCTGAAGGGAGATTAGTGAACTGTAAAGTTTGTCAGAAAAACATCGCGAAGGCAGCTTGGCAAGACAAAATGGAAAATGCAAAAAGAGTAAAAAGATAAAGAGGATACAGTGAAAACTGCCTAATATACATTTATTTGGAGATCCAGAAGTTGATGAGTGAGAGACAATTTGAGAATAGCTAAAAATTTCCTGGAATTGATAAAAGACCTCAGTTACAGATTCTAAAAGCTCAATGAATCCCAAGCAGAATACATAAAAAAAAAAATCCACACCCAGATACATCATAGTAAAACTGCACAAAACGAAAGGCAAAAAGAACAAAATTTTAAAGCAACCAACTATCTTCAAAGGAGTCTGACTGAGAACTGACTGTGCAGGAGCAATGAAGGTAAAGGGCAGCACAAAGAATCTACATGCTAAAAGAAAACAACCTCCAACCTAGAATTCCATACTGAATAAAAATACTTATCTAGAATTAAGAAAGGCAAAATAAAGATCTTTTCAGATCAACAAAAATGGGACATTCTCCACTAGCTGACCAACACAAAAGTAAACTGAAGCAGGTTAGGCAAACTTCGGTGAAGAAGCAGATAGTAACTATTTCAGTCTTGCAGGCCATACAATATTATGTGTCACAACCACTCAACTCTGCTCTTGTCGTGCAAAAGCAACCACAGACAACAGTAAATGAATGAGCCTGGCAGCATGCCAATCAAACTCTTCAGAAAAATAGGCAGTGGGCTGGATTTGGCCTGTGGATGTAGATTGCTGACTCCTGACCTAAAGTTTAAACTTCAGACAAAAGGGAAATGATCACAGACGGAAAGGCTGAGATTTCAGAAGGAATGTAGGGCAAAGCAAGTGATAAATAAACAAACATCAGTTATATGAAACTCAGTTTTAAAAAACATATAGAACTAAAACATGTGACAAGAGGAGCATAGAACCCGGGAAGAAGTTGAATGGAGTTAGTTTTCTGGGTTCCCTGCATTATCTTTCTGGAGGAAGAGTAAAGGTATTGATTAAATTAGACTTTGATACATTAAGGATGCTTGTAATGACTTCTAGGGTAACCACTCCAAGAATAAAAACAGAATAAAACTTCCAAAGTACTAGAAGGAGAAAAAATGAAATGATTAAAAGGCAGGCAAGGAGAGAAAAGTAAACATAAAACAGGTGAGACAAATAGAAAACATAAGCACTTTAAACCCCAATATGAGTAGTGACACGAATATAAACGTCAACATTTTAGTCTATTTCCCTCCCAAGGATATTGTTCTTCAGGATAAGATCATACTGTATATAAAACAGTGCATCTCCCTAGGACATAATAGTTTGTACATTTTTCTTTTATTGTACATTGTTTTCAAAGAATGGTATTCCTAGTATTTGGAGTTGTTGGAATTTTGAGTTCTCTGAAAAATCAGAGAGAAACTATTTGGGCAATTACTAAAGACAACGTGATTCTACAATTTTTAGTGGCCCAATATGCATTTCAAGGCATCTTGGGACTGATTGCTATTTCATGTTAATTTCTTATTGATCTTGCTAATAAACTATAAGTTCCCAGGCGATGCATATAAAATTTTAATGAAATTTTTTTACCATTACTCCTTTTCGAAATATCTAGGAAGTACCTATGTCTCATCTTAACGAATTAATATTTTACAAAAAGTCAAAAGACCAGGCATGGCTCTGGGCTAGGCATTTTCTGTTAGCTCAGTCAGTCCTCACACAACGCTCTAAAGTATGTGCGTTCACCTCCATTAGACACGAGATTAAGAAACAAATTGCTGAAGGTCCCACAGTTAGTAATCGGTCGACCGAGGGCTGGAGTCCAGGACGACGGCAAGCTCCGAACCCACAGGCTTTCCTCCCCGTTGTCAGTGCTGCCGATACACTGGAAAGGCCTTATTCTTCAAATTTCTCTCTCAAGCAGGAAAAAAAAATCTCTACAAGACCACCTCCTTTCCTTTCTCAGAACACTGCATAATTTTTTAGTTCCACATCTACACTAACAGCTTCCTGCTGTCATCAGTAATGATTAATCCGAATGGGTTAGTTCACCTGTTTCCTAACGTGTTTCAGGTGTTAGTTCCTGAACCTGACTCATCCCAGTGCGGGGGGCTTAAGGCCTCTAGGCCTGGATGAAGGGAACTGAGCCAGATGTCAGGTCCCCAGGGCTCCTTTTGTAGGGGTCAGGCGGCAGGGACAAAAAGCTTGCGTCTACACGATTCTGGGTGGGCCCCTGAAAGCGAGTTAATCGGTCAGCGAGTATTCGTCAGGAATACGCCCATATTAGCTACTAAGACTGCTAACCTCAGTGGAACCGACGGCTTGGTTTCTACTTACTTTCGACTCGGGCTAACCCTCTAGCACTTTTGCTAATCTGGGTCTGGTTCCCCGGCACACCCGCAGCCAGTAGCGCGAGGTTTGGCGCCTCGGGCGGATCCGGCTGGAGGATCGGTTGAAGCACCAGAGTCTCGCGAGATCTGGGACGAAGGGGCGGGAGAAGCGCGCGTGCACGCGCCCGAGAGCCGTTAGGGTGGAACCCTTCCCGGGCGGGGCGGGCAGAACAAATGCTGTTGGAAGCCAGTTGGTGGAGCCCCGCGGGAAACGACTAAGCGCGAGGAGCGTGCGCGCTCACGTCGCGGCGACGGTGGCGGCGAGCGGCGTCAGAGCTTGGAGGGGGGGGCTGACGGCTTCTGGCGGGTGGCGGTGTTGGAGGCGGCAGCTTGCTTAGCCCGTATCGCTTCTGCCCCAGGAACCCGACGGAGAGTGAGGGAACGAGGGTCGCTTTCGGGGGCTGCTGCCTTCCACGTACGCGTCGTCGTGAGGAGCGCAGCCCGGAGTCTCCTGCAGCCCCTCCGGCTCCCTCTCCGCACGCCTCGAGGCGCCGGCGGCCACCGAGACAGCGCCTCACCTTCCCCCACCCCTTCCCCTTGTCCCCCCGCCCGAAAGGGCCCGGTTGGCGCCCCACCCCCGCCCGTCAGCCCGCTACGCCGCCGCCATGTCGGCGCAGGCCCAGATGCGCGCGATGCTGGACCAGTTGATGGGCACCTCCCGGGACGGTAAGCCTCTGCCAGCGCCCTGGGGGTGGGGGAGGGGGCCGGGGACGGCGAGGGGAAGGGGCTCGGCGGGCGCACCTGGGCTTGTGTGTGTGGCTGAGTAAGGGGCTCCCAGATTGGTACACGAGGTCCCGGCTCCCGTCCCATCCAATCAGCGCTGGGCAGGCGGGTTTGGGGGGCGGCGACAGGACGGATTGGCGGGAACTGCTGCCAATGGGGTCAGGCGGGGCCTGGAGGCAGAAAGGAGAGTTTGAGCCTTCAGTGTTGACTTGGCTGGGATGGGAGAGCCCACGTCTCTCCTGCGTAGTCGGGCGGCCGGTTTGGTGGCTCCCTGGGTGCCTGGACTGCTAAAGCCTCCGACCCCGGCGCGACGGCCTTCACCCAGGGCTCGGGCTCCCCGTCGCCGCCGCCCTCCAGGGTATCCAGAGAGAACTGCCCCCACCCCTTCCCTGGGCCCGGAGGAAGCCTTCACCGGGAACCCAGGCGCAGGGGTGCTCTCTCGATCCCCGCAGAAACCACCGTTCCTATGAGAAAATCTGACCCAAACCATGGTTTCTTGAAGTGGGTGTGTTTGGCCCCATTTTGTGAAAAAAGAAATGTTATGGCCTGTTTTTTCCGAGAGCCCTCCATTTTGTTAGACAATTTGATAGAGGCTTTGTTCAGTAAATATTGACAAGTCTTGCATGTGCCCCAAATAGAACCATTTTGAAAATGTGGTGCCCAGTGAAGTACAATGGAGGGAAGCAACGATCCTTTTAGGCATTTAGGTTAGAATTTATATAGAAAAGTACTAATTGCTGGATATCTTTTTGTGATAAAGAGAATTTCTAAATAAGATGAAATGCTGTTGCTTTTTTTTGGTGATGATAATTCGTAATGTACTCTTTGAATTTCATCTCAAATCCATTCTAACCTGGAGGAAAGGTCTAGTGCAGTACTTTCTCTCTTAAAAACACAGCAGAACACTTGCTCATTTTTATGTGTTGATTGTTCAGACATAGTTACTTAGCCATTAAAGAAATGCTTTTTTCTTGACAAGTTATTTAAATTGCTTGATGTAAGAGAAAATGGACACTCTTACATTTTTAGCAGTCGCTCTTAGAATTTTGAGTGCTTGGCAGCGAAATACGTGAGTAGATTAAAAAATTTTATTGAATTGAAATATTTTTAGCAATGCATGTTTAGAATGGCTTTTCAGTGTTTGCAGTTCTGTTTTAATGAAAACCCACATTGGGAACTTTTCGAAGAACATATAGACAAATAGGTGTAGATGGCAAACCTACTTGTGTAGAGAGGAGGGGAAGATTGCGAAAGAAACGAATTTTATTTGCATAGTAAACCCTTGAAACTTAACATTAATTAAAAATGCCACTGGAGAAACTTTTACCCCTTACCATTTTTCACTTTTAGGTAAAAACGTTTATTTTATATTTGCATCGTGTCTTAACATTGCTCCTTTTTCGTTATGAAGGCCATATTGGGAAGGGGCTTAATCCAGGATTTTAGCTGACAGAATAATCTTTGTAATAAAATTATAAAAATCATTTAAGACTTACTTTACATGATCCTTTTACTCCTAGATGGATACCATTTTTGGTGTCTTCTGTGAGGATTGAATTTCCTAATTTTACTGGGAGGGTAGTTGGATCAAAGCAGCTACTAGCACCTGATGAATTTCTGAACTAGGCATCCAATCTAGTACTGCAAAGCTAAATTTAAAAATATATATATTCCTGTGTGTGTAGTCAGCAGAAACATGGATTTTTCTTAAAATCCACTCTGTATACAAATACATTTATATTTTTTATGTGTCTGTTTCTGGATTTTTTTTGCCTCCAGACTAAGAGGTTTACCAGTGAACTTATGTTTACAAGTCTGTGATATTATTTAGCTGAAATGACTGGATTTTCACTGTTGTGTTGGGCCAGAAGTAAGAAGCATACTACTTGCAAGGAAAAGAATTGAACGTTTTTTTACATACCCAAATTAGTTCTTTTATGCATATGAGATAAGAATCAGAACATTTCTTTTCCTTCTTACAGATAATAAGTTTACGTATTTCATCTTATGACTCAGGACCTTTAAATAATTAGGATTGTTCTTTTTTAGCATGCAGTCAACTTGGTTATCCAGGGATAGGGGATCATGGATATGTTCTTGAATAACATCATGAATTTGAAACCATGTAATGGGAAGCTTTGTATTGGACACAGGAAAAGCTTACAGGGAATGCTGTTGGGTGTGTTTGGCACTAAGAGGTGGAAATGGGGTCCAAGAAGTGGGAGAGAGTTGGAAAAGGTAGGTAGGAGGGTATTTAAGGCAGCTGTCCAATTTTTTTTTTTTTTTTTTTTAATCCTAGAGACTGTAAAGCAGCCACTGTCTTCTTGGTTAGTGGGACTCAAGGTAGCAATGACCCCATCAAGCCTTAGTGTCCTGCCTGTGAGGGAATCTGAAGTGGCACAGGTGGTCCAGGGTACTGGGAAAACCTTACTTCCCTTTCACCTCCGTCTCTCCCTAATAAAAGTTTTATTTCCTCTCCCCTTCTCCAAAATCAGTTTTTAATTAGTTCCTTTTAAAACTCCTTGGAGATTTAAGTCTGTTAAATATACCTTATTTTGAATTGCTTGAATCAATTAATAATTAGATTACCTAAACTTTGTGACTAGGAATTTTAGTGGCAGGGATAAGGAGAGGTAATCTTGGATCACTGGGCACTTCCAGAAAGGACAGTCTTGGGTGAGTGGTGGAAGTGGGGGGCTTTGGACAACCAGAGGGCAGCATGATGGCGCTGGGAGGCTGGGCAGGGGGTGACCAGGAGGTGGGAGAGGAATGCATAAGGGAGGTGGGAGGGCCAAAGACAAACTTTGCCTTCTTTGCAATTTCGCCTAGGGCCCTGGTGGTGGCAACCGCCTGTGTGCCACTGAAAATCGTGCCGATGCCTGGCATACTGCATAAATGGAAGCAGGGTACCGCGTGAGTTGAAACATTGGTCACACTATATAAAGTTTGTATATGTGAATCAGTGTAACTCATACCCATGTAACTGGGGGTCTGACTCTATTTGGATTTTTCTGATAAGGCATCATGGGCTAAGGAAAAGAGCATTGGGCTGAGACTCAGGAGACCTGGTTTCTAGCCCCAGCTGTACCTCTAATTGTAACCTTGGGTAAGTCACCTCACCTTTTTTGCCTCAAGTTAAATCTATAATTTGTTAAATGGGAAACCAAATAATTTCCTATGTTATTCTCAAAAATTGTTGAAAAATAAGTATACTTTAAGTTTTTCAGAAAGGAGGAACTATAAGTAGATATAAATTAGTATTTTATCTGAAGTTTAAGATAACGTTAAATTTTATAAATACCTTTCTGTTTTAGTTGTTAGCATTAATAGAAGGGAGAGGGTTAATTTGTTTTCCCTGATTGTGTTCTATTTGAAAGGGAGGAGCAGGACAGGAAAGTTCAAGCAGCAGTTTGAGAATTGTCTATGTGACACTTGGAAGAACCCAGTGTCCTCACACAGACTATAGTCATTTTTGCTGAGTTGGGTTAATTGCAAGAATGTCCCTTAGACAAAGCCCTTTTGCCAACAAATACAGTTTGGTTATAAGTCTCTTGTCTTGACTCCAGAAAAGTCTGGCAAGGTGCAAGGGATAGGAATTAAACAAAATTGAGGGTGTGAATTTAGATTACATTCTAAGTTTAGGAACTAGGGAGGTCTCAAAAGGTAGTTTTGAGGTTTCCATACCTCTTAATTGTTTATAACCTTTTAATGGGATTAGAAATGATCTCTGAAAGGTTAAAACATGTTGGAAATGGCAGTCTGCCCTCAAAAACAGCCAGTAGACTAATAGAATAAAATTTTGTAGCATCGTTACTTGTCCATTATGCTTAAGGAATGTTTAGGGCAAGTTAAAGTTTTCAGATAATTTTAGCTATTTTTGATGGTACTCTTTCTCAACATGTAATGATGTACTTCCTCAGTTAACAGAGTTTATTAATCATAATTTAATATTTTTTGCTGATTAGTTGTAGTTTATGGGTTGTAAAATTAAAAGGATACTCATCCCAGGAGATAACCAGGAAAATACAGTTCAGAAATCATATACTTGTTTCTAATATAAGTTTAGGGATACCTGTCTGTTGAACCTGTAGGACAGTATGACATTTCTGTCTTTCTGCAAAATAAATTATTGAATCAAAGATTGAAGTAGTGTTGTCTTCAGTGTATTTTCTTCATAAAAATCATCCTTACTGTAATCTCTGTTTCTTGACTTGTCATCAGCATTGAGAGCATTTTCTTTTAATTTTCTCTCATTAACATAATGAACCATATTTATTTCTTGGTCAGTTGTAAGCCATTCTTCTATTCTACTTGGATTGTTCATTTTAAGTGAAGGAGGCGTAGCCTTTAATGTACAAGCTCACATTTTTTGAAAAAATAATGGGGTATATCTTACTCCAGAGCTTGTAAATTCTTTAATGTTATAAGAAATTTTAGCAAACACAATGTTAAACAGTAGTCAAACATAACATTAAATAGAGTTTTAGTAAATATTTGAGTTTATCAGAGGTCCAGGCATATCAAAACACTGAAAGCTATGTTAACACCCATATAGTGAACCTGGTTAAAAAAACTTTATTTTGCATTTTGAACTCTGAGTAGTATTTCTGTCTACAGAACAGCCCGGAAAACAATAATAGTATCACCTCATATAACCTTGCATTCTCTTCAGTTGTTTAGCTCTTCCCAAGGAAGCCTATGCTTCTGAGACATTCTTTCACTTTGGGTAAAAAAATAAAACCAAAGAAAAATCATTTTGTCTGTCATTGCATAAGGTCTGTAAGCAGCAGGTAAATGCTTTGATTTGATTAGGGCGAGCTGTCGCATAGGGATAAATGGTAGTGAGCTGCCTGTTCAAGATAGGTAGCAGGAACTCAAGGCAGGTAGGTATCCTGGATCAGGGTCAGAGCTGGTGAGTCAGATAGTGTTCAGTACCAGTTGGTTCATACAGATATTAGAGCTTCAAGTTGCTAGGGGTTCAGGCAAGCAGTGGGGTTGCAAAGATAGGCAGACGGCTTGAAACTGAAGGTCAGTAAGTATGGGTAAGACTAGATAAATGAGGCAGATGCTCCTCAAGAATGGAATTCTAGAAAGATGCTTGAAATGGATTGGATCCTAAAAGCCCAGGGCTGTTAGTATAATCCTTGAGGAACCATAAGCATCCTACTACCCAGCTTAATCAATCTGCTAAGAAATTGTAGACTAAGAAGATGAAGAAAGTTGGGAACGTTTTGCTGGGGAAAGAGTGAGACAGAGAAAGGGTTTCTGACAGGAAGCTTGGGGATTCAGCACCTGCAGAAAAGTCATTCTGTCCCTTTTTGGTTTAAATTCTCATGTACCAGCAGCTGCTAGGGTAGAAATTGGAAGGCAAGGCCAAAATAGATGAGCTAACCAATTTTGTAAGATTATTGAGGATATAGAGAAAAGTAGTTTGTAACTCTGAAATTGGCTACAGCTTCATGTTGTTTTAACTGAATAACTTAGGACTTTGAAAAGTCAAAGCCATCTGAAAGTAACAGTGTAGCTCATCAACTGAATAAATGCCATATTTTGCTATTTAACATGGACTATAAAACATTTTTCCTGAAAAAACACTCACTAGATATTGATTCATATGTTCTAATTTAGTTGTGAACCATGTGCAATGATGTTTGACCTGTGTGATTCAACCTGAAAAGAATTTAACCAGCTGCTCTTGCTGAGTCTTTTGTCATGTCTCCTGAATGCATGGTAAATTGTTTTGTTTTTATCTTCTTGAGACCTTAGTTTTTGTCTTTCAGAGTTAAAACTTTCCAAAGCTTTGCCTTTCGGTAAAATAGATTGGGTATCTTTTGGGTAGTACCTATCGTGTACCTAGCTGTTCAGCTGCTTCTACGTTCTGTCCTACTATTAGGTTACACGGTGTACCCTTTTCAGTTACTTGTGGGTATGTTTTAGATCAGGGTTGGCACTATGGCCCACCTGCTTTTTGTAAATAAAATTTTATTGGAACGCGACTGTGTCCTTTTTTGTACATATCTGTGGCTGCTTTGCCTTACAGCAGCAGAGTTGAGTAGTTGCAACAGAGCGATATGGCTGGCAAGCTTAAAATATTTGCTCTCTGGCCCTTTAAGAAAAGGATTGTTGACCACTGTTCTAGATGGGTGATTCTCAAAGTGTGGTCCCCAGAACAGAAACCTTAACATTACCTGATAACTTGTTAGAAATACATATTCTTGGGCCCACCCCAGGCCTATTGTATCAGAAATTCTGGGGATAGGGGCCAGCAATTTGTGTTTTAAGAGCCTTCCTCATGACTCTGATGCACATTAAAAGTTTTGAGAAACCATGTATTAGTCACACACAGCACCTTTCCTATTTTTTATCCCATTTTCTGTTTAATATTTTTTGTCAACTCACTTTCTAAAAATTTTAAGTTAATTTTAAAATGAAAGTTTATGTCACCAGAAAAATAAATGCAATGAAAACAATATGGTGTCATAAAGATAACTAGATTTTGTTGTCACTTACTTTATGCTAAAGATTAGAACTTCTTAGATGGGTTAAACACATATAAGGGCCAAGTGGAACCTTTTTTACTTGACTCAGTCATGATAAATAATCACCTCTAAGTGATTGAGTTGTGTTTAAAATGTCATGTTGGTGGAATCATATAACACCTAAAATCATCTTTTGTACAAATCCCATACTTTCGAAAATACTGTTTTAGCTATTCGTCTGAAAGGAAAGCCTCTTGAACTGTATGCATCCTAGCCACTAAGTAGAAATGACTGGCCAGAAATACACACCTGTGAGATGGAGAGATCTAGGAATCTCTCGAGAGGCCCATTGAGACTTCTAGGGTGAAATTGCCTCATTTAGCTTAATTTCTCACCTCTCCATTAGTGTTTTGGTCCATAGTAGTCAGCAGTTCTGCAGAATTTCACCATTCTGTTCCATAGTGGGAATGTGAAAAAGTACCTGGCTGTGGGAAAAGCTGCATCTCAAACATAACTCCTGGACTAGAAACTGGGGAAAGTGGCTATAATTCTTCATTATGGACAGGAGAACAGCAGGGCATGCATGCTAGGAAAACAGTTGATTCACCTCGGTTTCTGGAAACCATGTGTTTGAGAAATTCCTGTGTTACTGTTTAATTTGCCTCATAGTATTAGAAGGAGTATTTTCTCGGGCATGATATTCTGCGTATTTATTGGCTGATGTGCTTTAGGGTATAGTAATTGTTGATAGAAATAGAATCTTGCTTTCCTGAATATCCCCAGTTTGCTGAGTTGCTTTAGTTATTTCCTCCTTTCCTTTTCTTAGAGATTATGGACATATTTGCTTCTGTGATCTTTTGACTCTGCAATAAAGTAGTGACATAGGACTCTAATCCTAGAGGGACTCAGTCTAGTGGGGAGCGAAAATTTACACATGAACAATTATGTTTGTTTTTAAGTGATGAATTCTGTGACAACTGATTATAGGTGTCTAAGTTTGAAAAAAGTGTTTAAAAATACAAAAGATGGGCCAGCCCAGCAGCGTAGTGCTTAAGTTTGCACACTCCACTTTGGCAGCCCAGGGTTCACAGGTTTGGATCCTGGGCGCAGACCTACTCACTACCCATCAAGCCATGCTGTGGCAGTGTCCCACATACAAAAAATAGAGAAGGATTGGCACAGATGTTAGCTCAAGGATAATCTTCCTCAAGCAAAGAGAGGAAGGTTGGCAGCGCATATTGGCTCACAGCCAATCTTCCTCACCAAAAAAAAAAACAAAACCAAAAGACACCTGTGTGAATGAACAAATGTTTTGTATATTTCCCTCAAATTAAAAAAAATTGAAGCATTGCAAATGAAGTCTCTTATGTTCCCCTTCATAGTCTCAGTCCTTTCTCCAGAAGCTTCTCCAGAAGCTTGTGAATTTGGTGTGTATTCAATGTGACACAGTATTTCTCCTGTGTTGTTTCAGTAGTTGTAAGGCTCAGTCTCCTTCATGGTAATCTGTTTCTCATTTTAACTTCCTTTATCATTGAGTCGTTTGTCACCTCTGTCCTTTGATATTCTCATTTCTTTCCCCTTTTTATTTCTTTCCTTCATTGGTTTTAGGTTTGGGGAGGCTCTGCATAGCTTTTATAGCTATCACCAACCAATGAGAACTTGTCTTTTTAGTAGATAAATCAGCCAATCACTTTTTCTTTGGTTCTTTTCAGCTATTTCTTCATAGCCAGAGATAGCTTCTATTTTGTGTATAGAAAGTTCTGGATGATAGAAGGCACCAGATATCCAGAGTTCCAGTGTTAACTCTATCAGAATTGCAGCTCTGCAAGTAAGTATCAAAGTGTAAAATTTAGCAGGCTGCAACTTTTTAGTGACTGACTTTCTTTTATAACATATCTCATAAAATAATTTACTTTTAGAGCTTAATTTTTAGATAACTATTCAAGCTTTTCTAATTTATTTCTTATATCAAAGAGGAAAAATATGTTGATAGATTTCCTAAAGCATGTGATGTGATGGTGTTGACCCCTGCCAGTGGCCAGGACTCTGTGCTTGTATAGAGAGAGAAGATAGTGTTGTGGCAAGGGATGGTGTAGAGCCCTTGGAATGCAGCTCCTTTAGTATTCTGTTCTCACGTTTCTGTCACCATTAGAATAGCTCTTAAAGACCCTATAAGCTTTTTCTCCTACTATCCAGGGTGTTTCCCAGTCTCATTCCTTAGAATTTTGTTAGACAGTTTTCATAGACAAGTAGGCTGGTAGATTTAAAAAGTGATTTTTAGTATTTAGTATGATCTTTGATCATATTCAGCAAGAATGAATTTGTTCTGGAAATTTCTTCTACAGTGGGCATTACATTTTTAAAATGTTGGGTTTGTCATGGGGATTACGGTGGGGGTGATATTAGTACCTATTCTTAATTATAAGCTTATAGGACCATATGAAAGGATTAAGAGGGATAGCCTTTCTGAACTGTGTAGTACCCTTATTTTTGTATTTTCTGGAGGAAAGAGCTGCTACTACTACTCAGGATGAATTTGTAAGTTCTGTTAGAAAGAAGTGACTTGATGTTCCATTTGGAAGGGAGAATACCATAATTGGTCTTTCCCACTACCATCTTTGGCTGAGTACTCTCTCTTTCCTTTCTTTATGTAATAAATATATTCCTGGGAAGTTTGACATGGATCAAGTCATACTAAGTGTGTCAAAGCATCTATAATCATTTTGTGTTAAGATATGATAGTGAGTCCTTTTATAAAATGAATCCTATAGTTTGAGCTGTATAAATATACAGTGAATTAAACTGAATGTATTTATTAACAAAGGAACATGGAGTAATAAGAGGGTTGTTTTTTAAAGGTTAATTACAAAAGGGTTCTTCGAGGTGGGTTTTAGGCTGAATTCTAAACAAACAAAGGTAGGTGGGAGAAGTTAGTGGAGTTGGTGAGAAAATTCAAGGGTGTAAAAGTGATCACGTTGGTTCTTCAGTATCATAGTCACTGTGTAGCCGTAGTCACCTGCTTTTACCTTGGTTCCATGTGAAGATGTAAGGATTTACTAGTACAGGGCAGATTCTTCCTTCCTTGTGCTAGACCAGAATTTGGCCACGGGTCTTTCTCCAGTTCCCACGTTGTTATGTGGACTCAGTAGCTTATATTGTAAGAAATGGTAATAAGAGGGTGGAATATTTCTCTGCATTTGAGGATTCGAGGGCACAGGGAAGTAAGAAGCTTTAAGCTTTCAGTTATACACTTCTTCTAACTCTGGTGTTCCTTTCACTGAAGGTGTATGGGTTTTATTTCAGAGGGAATGTGCCTACCCTGTCCCAAGCCATCAGTAACATGTGGCCCCTAACAACTGTGCCTGTGGGGAGGGCTTTGGTTGTGGTGTTGGAGGATGTGGGAGGGCTTTCTCTCTCCTGGCCTCATTTATAAACTAGGGGATGCTTCCATTTGCTTTGTGTGCTGTTGAGTTTTCTCCTCTCTGTTTTCCCTAAGCTAAGCTCTAAGCTAATTCTGTACAAAAGAAATACTAATTAGTTGTTTTTTATAAATTGCTTGCCATTAATGCCTGATAATATGCAGTAAAATAAGGATTCTGCATACCAATATATATGTCAAATATTACAAACTTTAAGGTTCTTTTGAAATTACAATACTAAACTCAGTTCACTTTTGCTTAGCCTTCACAGTTGTTGATCACATAGCATGGTCATCCACTCACAGCTTAAAAAAATACAGGGAGCATCGGAGAGAATGGGTAAAGTAAAATTTTGATGTTTTTAAAATAGCACCTAAATCTATGAAAGTTGATTTGATTTATTGTTTGTTTGGGAGGGAGAGGGTGGGTGGCACTGGAGGGGAGGGGGTGGATGTTGGGAAAATAGCATGCACCATGTAAATGATATTAGATCCCATTTAGGGTAAGATTTTAAGTGTTACTACTACAATTTAAGGTGAAGTCAGTTTCAGAAAAGGCAGGACCATAAAATAGCAGTGTTGGGGTTTACAGTGGGCTGATTTTTCCCTCCCAACAGGTTGAAGGGGTTTTGAGAATAGCAGTATTTGGGTACGGTTTGGACAGGAGCCTCCTTTTTAGTGTGGCCTGTCTGTATTACCTGAGTGAAACTGCCTTGGTACCACTTTAGGCTCTGTTAGATTGCTGAAAGACTTCGACAGGAATAACTTGCATTCCAGTTTTTATTGTACACCTGTGATTCAGGTGTTCCCAAATACTGGTTATAATTCATGAAACTCATGAAGGAATTAAGTGAGAGAGAGAGAGAGGTTAAGAGAGTTGTACTCTGAAGTTAGTTGCTTAGTGGGAAATATTAATAGAAATTTTGGTGCTTCCATTCAAGTGAGGAACACTTTGCCTGCCAAAGTGCGTAACAAGTTTCTAATTCTAAAAACTTGGCATTGTGGTTACGTACAAAGCTTGATTAGTAGTGGAGGTTAGAGGGCAGAGAGACTTCCATGTTTTTATGGGTAAGACATGTTGTTGTTAACTCAAATAACTTGGTCTAAGCTCTGCCTCATTATTTTTAAACTTTTTTTTTTACGTTGTTTACACACTAAAACTCTGGATTGAAGAAAAGAATGAAAAACTTATTTAAGAAATCAAATTTTACCCAAAAAATATTGTTCTGGCCCAACTTTGCTATTCCCCTACATGAAGCCATTTGCCAAAGTTAAATATGATTTACTTACTGTTCCCCAAACCTTCCAGCCTCTATAAGCTTTGTCAAAGATATTACTCCAGTTTGGAATGCTCTTTTTTCTCCTTTCCTTTGGTCTAAGTCCTATCTTCCTTCAAGTTTTGGCTTCTACTTATTTAATGAAGCCTTTTCTAACCTCTCCAGTCCCTAATAGTCATTCTAGTCTTAGAATTCCTGAAGTACTACTGTTTGAAACATCCTTTTCATACTTGGATCATGCTACCTTGTATTATTACTTGTTACTTCATTTAAATGTCCTGTTTCTCTAGCAGAATCATGGGCTCTTTGAGGGTAGAGAGCTTGTCTTAGTTGCCTTATTCTAACCTCATTGTCTAGCACAGAGGATATGTTCACTGATAGGTTTGATTCTCTGATTTGGATCCAATGTTAGTGTAACAGGGCAATTGTTTTTTCTTAATTTAGGTTATTTTTGTATGAATATATGCCCAGAAAACCCAAAGATAAAATGCATTGAACTCATAAATTAATTCCTTGTATTATAAAGAGATTTGGTTCATATTTGTGTCCCCCGCTCCCCTCAAATGGGCACTGTTTACCTAGTTTCTTTTGAAAAACATGGTTTGGGCCAGATATCTTGACAGAAACCAAAATTACCAGTATTTTTATTGTAAAATTTCTTGGTGTAGCCAAATTATACTTTCATGGCATAAGCCCAAATAAATTTATTAAGTACTGCATGGTAATGTGGCCAAATTAGTTTTAAATGTTAACCTTAAAGTCTTTTAAGTAAAACTTTCAAGATATCAGTAAACAGATACTCACTTGCTGGTCCCTCTCAGAATATTTCTGTATCTCAAATTATTAGAGGTTTTATTATTTTATTGTTTTAAAGCTTTCTGTAATGTACAGGCTGACATTTGATAGCTGTATTTATTGTATTTGCTGCAGTTATCAAATGTCTGTGGAACAACCATTCATATGCAGTGAAGAATTGTTTTAAAATACTTTTTGGCATTTATAGAAACTGATTCTTTTTTAAAAGCTCATCAGGGATAATATTTGCTAAATTTGTATTTGAAATTGTTCATATCTTATCTGAGAGCTGTGTCTTCAGGGCACATATATCTGAATGATAGATTTAATGTTGTGATTTCTGGAGCGAAAGCAGTTGCCCTACTTGATGAAATGTTTGATTAGTAAAATTTCCATGAATCTTGATTTTATTCTAAGGTCTAGCTTATAACATTCTCGAGCCGTTAGTTTGACAAAGTGCTGAAACTATACCGCTGTCGCATTACTGAAAAGCTTAGAGACTTGTAGCAGGGAGACTCCTAGGTAGGTAAGATTTTTTTGCCCGTACGTAAAAAATGTATATCATCTTTAAGTTTCTTAGCATAATTTGGGTACAGATTTAAAATAAAACTTTTTTTTTATAGGCTAGGAAGCAAAAAGCCTCTAATATAGCCCTCTAATGTAGCATTGCCATTCTGGCGTGAGCTTATCACAGTCCCATTCTCACATCAGCCTAAGGCCCTCACCAAAGTCTCGATGAAATATACTTTAAAAAAATGTTTTTTAAAACCCTCTTGGCCCAAGGACCACTTTCCAGAGCTGCAGCCTTGGACTTTTACCTGTGGTCAGTCATATTCTTCTCTAGGGTTACACTTACTAAGTCAATATTTAAAAAAATAAAACACCCTGATTTTGTTCACTTTTGTTTTCATATACAAGAATCTTTACAGTCAACATGTACTTCTAGATGCTGTATTGAAATTGCTGGCAGAGTCTATTCTATACAAACTGAACAATCTGGCCCCTTGTTTTATTTGTAAAGGTTCAATGTATCTATGCCTGCCCACTTCAATCCGCAAGGGAGTGTCAGAAAGGCCCCGCATTCGCCGAGCCGTGAGTTATCACTAACTTTTCAGATGTGTTAATGAATGTGGAACAAAAGCAGTTGTGTTTAAAAGGAAAAAAGGACCATCAAGACAACCTTTATTATAGTAGCAGGCGTGAACACTAAGTGAATTATTCCAAATTGTGGTGTCAAAAATAAGCTATTTAGCTAGAGACTAGCCTCTAGAAAACCTATTGTTGAACTGCTCTGAAGCTATCATTTTAGCTATGTTACTGTTCTTAAAATTTTATGTACCCTGTTTGCAAATTAGGATATTCTTTAAGTCTTTTTAACCAAGTCAAAACAATTTGAACAAAATCTTACCCCACCTAAAAATGACAGTATTTAGTTGACTTTGAGTTAAGCTCTTCAAAATAAGACCATATGAAAGGGGTAAAGTTTTAACCTTTTTTGTTATTCACATGTGAAAGACAGAAATTAAATAATTGAGTCGCTTCCTAGATGAAAGTTTTTGGAGTGCTCTAAGCATCATGTGAAGTACAAAGGTATTTACAATCTGTTTTGGTACCTACAGTTCTTGCTTCAGTAATTCACCAGTAGGTTTTCATTCATTAATGATGATATCAATTTAAGGCTAAAATAAAACACCTACGTTTCTTAGGGCTTATCATTCTACATAGAGGAAACATCCTTGAGTTTTGTTTGGTTTGGTTTTTTTTCTTTCGAAGATTCTAAGCAAAAAAATTGTAACTAACATCTATGTTTTGTTAGAGCTAGTTACTTTTCTTTTTCTTAGATTCTTTAAAATTTTGAGTAGATAGGCATATTTGATTAGCAGGTTGGATACTTCTGTTGCTTAGGAGGTGTATTGTGTTTTATGAAGATAGAATAAATTTAAATGTACCCACTTTGGCCATATATAGCACAGACTACAAAAAACTTGGAGGTATGGGACCTTTGGAGGCATTAAAGTTAACATTTCATTTCGGCAATGTGCCTTTGTTTGACTGGTGTGTAAGTCCTTCTTCCAGGTTTGTACGCTCTTAAACACGTTATTCTACCCTCTCTAACTCCTCCCAGCAGCAAAAGGGAGACACTTCAGCTGGAACAAAATAGTGGAAGAAATGGCGTCTGGGGTTCAGTGGGGATTCGCAGTGTGTATGCAATGTTTGCAAGATTACTTTTTATGTTTTTCAATTAATGTAAATAATTACAAAATGAATCAGTGCTTAGTGTCAAGTAGGGAACATTGTATACCAGTAGAAACTCTCCTAGTGGGTCTGCTGCAAGTCGCTTAACCTCTTGGGGCCTCAGTTTCCTCATCTGCAACATGAAGGAGTTGGACTTGATAATCTTTAAGGTCCATTCCTGCTCTAAAATCCTATGCTTTTCTGAAGTACTCTGTTTAACAGAATGCATTGCTTTCCCACTTTGACTATTTGAGTTACATGTGCAGTACACGTACTGCAGCTGCATGTTGTCTAAAATAGATTTTCTGTAGGATATTATATAAAAAACTAATCCCTCTTGAGCTGATTTATAAATGTGTGTGTAATAAGCCACACATAAAAAGCTAGTGATAGTAGGGCTCTCAGAAAATACGTATTTTGCAGTTGTCTAACCTTGAATGTTATTAACTTTCCTATATTACAGGAGATACTACTCGTCAACGAATCAAATTCAGTGATGACAGAGTATGCAAGAGTCACCTTCTCAACTGTTGCCCTCATGATGTCCTCTCTGGAACTGTATGTATTTATTAAATCTATTATTTGATTATTGGTATACTACAAAAATGAACAACTTGACAAAGTCTTAATTCCTTGTCAAATTATTCTGCAATGATTTTTTTAAACACTGCTTTTAGCAGAGGGCTTTGCATCCCTTATGTTGTTTATTTATTTAGGTTGATAATTTAAATCTGCAATAATGGGATTTCTCACACAACTCACTGCTGTACTTTGTAGGTTTTTTTGTTCTTCAGAACAATTTAAAACATTTCTTATTTGGAATATAAAGGCAGTTATATAGCAGTTACACTTTTAGTTTAGAAACAGTATAAATGGTTTTCAAAATAGTTTCCTTTACTGTTGAGCAGAGTAGACTTTTGTCCAAAACAGTATACATTTTTGTTAAGAGTTGTGCACATTTATATTGTGGAAATCATAGTGGGGAAAATAGATTCGTAAATATTTAAATTCACACAGCTTAATTTGCAAGTAGTATTATCCTTTAAAATTCATTTATGTTGCTGACTCCTAATAATGTAAAGCTCACCTAATTCAGATTCTGTGTCTAATGGTGTTGGCTGATGTTAGAGTATCGTCATTTTAATTTGGAAGATAAACCACATGATGCTGGACTTAAGTGGAACCAAGGATTTGGTTCCCTGGCTTTTGGATTGGGTGGAAATGATTAGTCACTGCAAGAGCTTCCATTCACAGGCTGCATCTGATGGCGGAGAAGTGCCAGTGGGGGTTAAATATTGAGTTGACTTTATTTCTCATTTGCCAGAAATGACTGAAATGAAGAAAAGACTTCTGACTTCCCTTTTCAGAAGTGATGAGTTCCCTTGGTTAAGGATGTGTAAATGAGTGATTTCTTCTTGATAGGAAGAGTTAAATGCCCCAAACAGATATGTATCAGGCATATGCAATAGAAGACATCGCTTTCTTTTTCCAGTAGGAAAAACTATCAAAAATATATTAATGTTAAAAGGAAAAAAGAGCCTATGCTTTAAAAAATATATAATACCTAAATTTTTTGAAAGTATATATAATAAGTATAAGTATATATAATACCTAAATTTTTAAAAAGTGTAATACCACAAGGAAAGAAATCCAGTTTCTGAGCGCTTGAATTAGGACTATGACAGATAATTAATCCTCAGATCTCCTCTTTAGAGTTTTAGAAGTATTTTCTACTGTGCTATAATAAAATTGAAATCTATAAAATCTATCTGTAGTGTACTTTGATTCTTCACATTTACTATTGTGTTAAATTTAACAAAGTCATTTTATTTAATGGCTAAATCATCACTTCAAATAAATTTTGAGAGCAAGATTCATTAACAAAGTGGCAGAATTTGGTTTTTTTATTTTTTAATACTTTAAGACCAGCCGTAGCAGGACTTTGATGTATTATGGTCTTCAGGTATTTCATTAAAAATAAAAATCTGGCATCACGGCTGTCCTTTACTTTTTATAATGCACATATGCAGTTATGCTCATTTATTTATTTAAACCATTTTGAGATAGATGATCCAAAGTTAGCCTTAATGATATTAACTGACTTATTCAAAATCACTCAGTTTTGTTGATTTAAAGTAAGACTGGGACCAAACCCAAATTTTTTGAGCTGTAGTCTTCAGCATGTTTTCTACTCTGTAGGTAATACTTAATCCTGCATCATTTTAAATAAAAAGGATGAGTGGTTGGTTTTGAACTTTCCCTTCTTGTAAAATTCCTGCTGTTTGATTTATAACATGTACATCTTTTCAAATTTTAACATCCCTGAAATAATACATCTTAAAATTGATGACAGAAAAATACTGTCTTTGTTGGTAACAGTTTTCATATGGTACAGAACTTAATGATGAAGCTTAAAATTGCTGGTATCCTAGGGCTGGCGTGGTGCTGTAGTGGTTAAGTTTGTGTGTTCCACTTTGACAGCCTGGGATTCGCAGGTTTTGACCCTGGGCCAGACCTAGGACCGCTTGTCAAGCTATGCTGTGGCAGCATCCCACGTAAAATAGAGGAGGGTTGGCACAGATGTTAGCTTAGCAACAATCCTCCTCAAGCAAAAAGAGGAAGATTGGCAACAGATGTTAGCTCAGGGCCAGTCTTCCTCACCAAAAAAAAAAAAAAAGAGAGAGAGAGAGAGAGAGAGGCTCCTATCTTGGATTATATGAAAAACAGTTAAGGAAAGTCCTTCTACAGGTGCTTGCCAGGGAAACTCGAGATGAGAAATACCTCCTTTTTGTCAGTCTAATAGAAAAAAGGTGGTCATATGTAAGGAAGGGGTTACATAGTGGTGAATGTGTGTCAGAATTTAAGCAGAATTTTAAGGACTGTCTCTAGGACTCTAAGGCAACTCCAGGGTTGCCATAGAGTGCTATCCTTGAGAACTTGAAACCATCCATAGTGTCACTTCCTCATGACCCTTATGGTTACTAAAAAGGGCTGTTTATAACCGTTCATCCTATGTACAAATGGTTTGTAATTATAGAGCTGTGACTTCTTTAGCAACCAATCTCTGTAGAACAAAGACTTTTCTGGCACAAAGTCTAACAGTTCACATCTCTTTATGTTGAAGGTGCTGGTTTGTTTTGTTTTGTTTTGTTTTTTTACATGTTAGCTAAAAAGAACTGAATTGTAACTTGACTTTATAATGCTTTTTCTTTGTTGTATAACTGAAGGTTGCCCTTTAGTTTTCCTGACCTTGTTGCTCAGAATTATCACTTCTGGCAGAATAGGACTCACCAATATTCTAGATTATTTAGCAAAAGAATACACAGAAATGTATTCTCTGTCGTTTTCCATTATAAAGAGGTTGAACTTTATATCAAGCATTTGAAAATGGACAAGTGTGATTTCTAAAAATATACTCTAACTGACAATTAGTATGGAATATTTTTGGAATTCAGTTTGATGAAATGCCCCTGTAACATTTTACCTTTCATTAGTCTGCAACTCTGGTGTAACTAATTCTTAAACTAATAAATTAATCAGAGGAGGTAAAATGTAGAACAGAATCAAAGTAATTGTATATGTATCTCTTTGGATTATGATTTTTATAAGAAGCATGAAATTTTCTTATAACTTAGGAAGTTAGTGTATTTCAAAGGCTTGGCTTATTTTCCTATGCATCTAGAATATTTTCTTGTTTTAGTCCCACTGTTTTCTCCTTTTGGCACACTTGGTTTCTCCCTGTTGTGTTCACCATGCAGACACTAGACAGCATCCCCTTTCAGATTTAGGCAAAACAAAAAATCTGAGTAGAGTTGTTATCCCCATCTGCCCCCAGCACATTATTTCTGGTACATATCTTCCCTGAGGAAAGATAAGTATATTGAAGTACTTTTAAAAAAGTCTATCTAGTTCCTAGTGATCTGGGAAAAAGATACGTGTTAGTGATAATTTACAAAAGGCATCAAATCTAAAGCAGAGATGGTTACAGAAGTCGATATTAAGATCTGCAGAGATGGAAATGTATACTCTCATAGTGTGCCTGTCCTAAATTCAGAAATGGCCACTAGTAATTTTGTTATAGCCCCTATCATAGTATAATTTTAGTGTTGACAGGCCCTCATGTCTTCTAGCTTAAAGCCTTCATTTTATAGATAGGAAAAATTAAGGCTCAGAGAAATTTACACTTGTCAGATGTGTCTCATAATCAAAGAATCACAGTATATTATGCCGTGCAAGAATCTGAGTTACTTAAATCTAGATACCTTTTAAAATGTTTTTGTTGTTGTTGTTAGTTTTTAGGTAACAGTTATCTAGGGCAATGACTTTCAGATCTTTCTGACAAGTCCTTGGAGACATCTCTGTACTAAGAACATAAGGGTAGGCCAGTCTTTCCTTTTCAAACTAGAATTTTACACATTTTAAATGTAGAAGTTTTCTATGAAATTTTGTTTCAAAAAGATTCTACTGCTCAGAGATAGAATTTAAAAAGAACTGATTTTAAATACTTAAAGATGGGGATAAAGTAAAAACTTTATATCCCTTTTTGAAGTAATTGGTTGGGAGTATTGGTTGTCAACAATTCTGACTGAGTTGATTTTATGATGCCCCAAGAGGTTCTGGGTTTTATCCGAAGTGCAATTTTTACTAATTGAAACTCCTTTATTGCTCCTCTAACTCTTTCTTTTAAGGCCTATTTTAAAATCAGTTAGTTGGGTACATACAAACCTATTCTTTAAAACTGCTGAAGTCTCTTTGGTAGTACATATAGAAAAGATCCATGAAAGTATAGAGAAGCAGAATAGGTGATAAGAAGTAAACCTGTGCAGAATTTTCTCAACCAGCCACTTGATTGTAAGTTTCATATAATTAAGGCAGGGATGTTGTTTTGTTCAATGCTGTATCCCCGACGTTTAGAACAGTGTTCCTCCATTGTGTTGAATGAATAATCAATCAACTCAAAAGTGGAATGCTAAATAAATGTTTCAATAACTGAGTTTGGATTTCAAAATTTAATGATTGTTAGTCAGAACTGTGTTGCCTTTTAACAGATAAGGAGCTGGAGAATATCTTGGTTTTGTTGAGTTGCTTATCAAGATACGACAGCGGTGGTTCCACATGCAAATGTGAAAAAATTAATCTGTAGTTACTTTAAACTCAGTCTCTTCCCCAGAAATGGTTTATTTTGGGCTACTTTGGTATTTTTTAACAAGTGTTTTTAGCATTAGACTGGATTACTGGCTTGATTTTTGAAAAAATTTGTATTAGAGCCAATTTCTAGAGCTTTCCAGTTTGTAAAATGCCAGAAAACCTAGGTTTTACCTGATTTGGCTTTTGAAGTGTAATATGTCCTTGTATTGAACAGATTTGCTGTTTGTATTTTATCCTTCTCAGTCTCTTAAAAAAATATGCATTCCTTTAATAAGCATTTCTGGAGACTACCTAAACCAAAAATACATTTGATGCCTAGGAAATCAGAGGCACATTAACAGCTTTCGAGTGAATAATTAAAACTTTACTGTTAAACTTTAAAAACTAAGTCCTAAATATAGTTTGGAGCT